ATCTTAACTCTAAATATTTGCATTTGAAAGTTGATTCAAGTTACAAATAATTCAGCACTGCGTTCATCGAATTACTATTAAGAGCACCTAACCATGAGAACATTGAGAAGCAATGTCCTCCAATTGGGTTCCAAATAACTGAAATCAGAATCCATAATAATGGAGGTGAGTTTGCATTACAACGAATTGTAGATTTGTGCATCTATGAACAATAGTACTTGATTTTGTGGAATCAAGATTCCAAAAAAGCTCGAATTGAGATTCTGTGGAGGTCAAAGCAAGATGCCATGTTGAATGAATCATAGTTCTCTGCACCTATGAATCGAGGTACTTGATGCCATGGATTCTAGATTGAAAAAATCGTGATTCATTACATGTGGAATAGGGAATAAACAAATGTGGAATCAAGATTGAATAAATGTTGGGATTGATATTCGAAAAAGTTGGGATTGAGATTCCATGAACAATGGAATCGAGATTCTGAAAAGGTTTAAAACGAGATTCCTAAATTAATGAATCAGTATTATTGAGTTCCAGGAAACGGGTTTCGTGAAGATTCCTTCTCAGAATTGTCGAATGGGGTTTCTGAATCGGAATTGCAACCTTTGCAGAGAGATTCCAGTAGCCATGAAAGCAACCATAAAATTACTTAAACATGGAATAATATAGTTTTTAGTTAATGGTCATGTAATATAGAAAGAAAACATTAATAATGATTTATTAGAGCCTTGGTTGCAAAGGAAGACAATGATTCCATTGACTAGTATCTCTTATGAAATTAATAGTTGTTTTTAGGCATGGGGCCACCTTAAAAATATATTCGAGTGAAAAAGGTAGAGATTAGAGAAAAGGTTCAAGGGGATGCCCTAAAGAAGCACCTTCCTCAAGGTTTTTATTTTTTTGGTAGGTTGGCTAGGTTCAAATTCGATAACTCAAGTTTGAAATGAGTGCCTTCCAACATGTGTTGCATGGATTCTTCACTCTTAGACTCTGGACCTGCATTGAACATGGTTGGACATAGGTATGGTACGGCATGGGCATACCTGTATTCTTTATTCCAAAAAATTACGAAGAGAGCATTCTCGAGACACATGGAATCAAACGCATCTGGATTCGTTTTTTGGATTGATCGGATTCTTCTCCCAGAATAATCTTGTAAAGATTTTCTTTATTCTAAGTCCTAAATATAGAAAAGAGGTGAGCAGTCTTGAGACACATGGAATCCAATGCATATGGATTCTTTTTTGGATTTGATCGGATTCTTCTCCCAAAGTAATTTTGTAAAGATTTTCTTTATTCTAAGTCCTAAATATAGAGAAGAGGTGCATATCTCCAACATCTGGCTCATAAACCTAATGTCTCATACTTGTGCCATAGTCAAATGCTTGTGAATTCCTCATTATAACTATTGCTGGATTTTTGGATTCATCCTGGGTTCATGTATAAGTACTATATTATTTGATTCTTGTATTTTTTATGTAGCAGTACACCCATGTTGCAATCACTAGCATTTAGACTGAATAAATCTGCTTGTCTTTTTGTTGTGTGTGTGTGGATAACGATCATATAAGTGGACCAAGCTATTGATTAATATAAGCTGGACAACTTAGATTAAATATTTACCAAAAAAAAGTGGGGTTCTGATGGACCCTAAATTTGGCACACATGTAAGTCTCATCTATGCGCTTCAAAAATAAATGGGTGCCCTTGAAAATGTCGGGTAAAATATGTCCTCGTTCTTTGCCCATCTAGATTGTCTCTTCTCCTTCAATCTGGGTCGTCCAACCTCAACTATTCTATAGGTTGGTTGTACATGTGTATGTGTGTATGTGTGTATGTATATGTATGTATATGCATGCATGTATGTATGTATTTAGGGGCGGGATGTGAATACTTGGATACACCTTTGAACTAATTTCTCCAGCATTAGCTGATGGGCAAAAATTCCTAAAAAAAACCCTTTGAGCCCAAATTTTGCGCTCACACTCTCTTGAACCTTGGGGACAAAAAAAAAAGGTTATGCTGGATTTCCTTAAGAAAGAAATTTAGTGGATGTTGGCTCTCCATTTTAGATCTAGGCCTTTAAGAACTTAAAATTATATATATTTTCTAGAATTATTCATTTGTCGATGATTAGATCTAAAGAAAAAGCTTATGATAGAGTACATCGAGATTTGATTTAGTGGGTGTTGGGAAAGAACGGAGTCTCCAGACACTACATCGACTTGGTGAGAGATGTATGAGGGATTGCTAACTAGTATACGAACAACTAGTGGAGAGATGAGTGAGTTTTTATTGACAATAGGTCTACATCAGGGGTCAGCATTGCGCCCATATTATTGGAATTATGCCCTTTCAAGGCCTTCAATTTCTGACATTTGAATAGCTCTTAACTTTAGTGAGAGTATTAGAGCAACATGACTCTAGGATCTTGGCGTGGGACCAAGAGTCATAGAACCCCGAGTGAGTTATGAGGAGGATTTATATGGGTTGCAACTTACTTCTTTGTCCTCATGATTGTGTGATGGGCCAAGGCGATGTGATTTATATGATTGATGATATAAGCTCAATGACAAAATAGCCTTGTATGGGAAGGTTGGAGTCGATCAAACGGCATTGGCCTAAATCTCTGACTCTTAGAACCTTCTTGTAGCATGTGCATAAACAATCACAATGCATGGAAAGGCGCTCTTCCAGGGATACATTGGTGAGAGGTATGCACCTGCCAAGAGAGGAACCCCTGCACCATGTGTGTGCATGTCCTCTAGGTGGTGCACCTAGAATCCACAGTACTTGGGGATTCAGGGTCGCTCATTGGTTTGACTTTAATAAATCACATTATGAGCCCCTGATTATACATTGTAAGTGATGAGTTTGTTGGATCACATCGAGAAGGTGGCTTCGGATTCCAGGTTTAGTTGAGTGGAGTGCTCTGATTCCTAATTCAACTCCATAGGATCCTAATTTCCCTTGGAAATGTTTTAAATAGTGTTGAAGCATTTTATTTTGATGAAAAATGATTAAACTGATTTTTTTGGGTTTTGGGATTTTTTTTTAACAAGAAAATGAGCGTTTTGGAATTATTTTTGTAAAATGACAAACAATCCCCCTATAAAACACCCAAATGGCCTATGGGTGTGCACGTGGTGCCACGGGGGTCCCACATCAGCCCCGCGTGGAGGTGATGTGGGGGTGACATCAACCCCCCATGGAGACCCCCTTGTCCTTTGGGTATTTGTTATTTAATGTTAAGGGGCATTTAAATGTGTTATTTTGTGATATTTTGGAAAATCAGAAAATTAATTTGAACACATGTTAAATGTGAAAAGCAAGTGCTTTGTACACATGTGTGAGCCTTCTAGAAGGGACATAGGGTTTGATATTTCAACTTAAACCCTAAAGGTATTTGAAAATTGTGCACTTAACCAACTAGCTTATATTGTGTGACTTGATTAACCCCTCTTGTTCTTAAAAAGCGGAGGGAAGTTTCAAATTTGATTTTTGCTAGAAGTTGTCAAATTACCTCAAGGGTATTGCCCTCTAGCTTGGTTTTAAGTTCAATCATATGAAAAGAGCATGGGTATTTTAATATTAGAGAAACTGGAGTAAATTGTGGTTATTAAAAAAGGATAATGATACTTAAATCCATATCATACATCTTGATGGATGATGGTGAATGGTGGATGGTGGGCTAGGATCAAGCCTATCTTTGTAACCATAAGATGATGACATGGAGGGCCTAGATTCATCTATCTAGAAGCATCTATTTACTTGGTGGCTAGAGGCCTATAAATAACCTCTTAAGCCATGCATTTCATTCACTTGAGTTTAATCCATAGTTACCGGAATCTCTCCATTGACCTCACGTTTCTTGTTCCAAAATCCAATTCCGCATTTCCATTAGGAATATCTACGGAAACCGTTTTCGAAACTAAAGAAACTCGATTCCTTAATTTTAGAATTTCGATTCAACACATCTTTAGAAACCATCTATTGGAACCAAGGAAATTCGATTCCTTATTTTCAGATTCTCGAATCCAACGCATTGTTAAATACTTGAACCCATTAATTGTGGGTAAACATTCCCAAATATATCAAATCTAGATTCCAGCAATGATTAAATCTTGATTCCACGTCAATTGGAGAAGAAATCTTCCATCGAATGCTTCTAATGGTTTCAAGGTTTCATTATTTTACTTGTGCCACCATAGATGGCCTTTACTTTAAATTAAAATATAACTAGTAAATACAACACATACAATTAAAAGTAAAACCATGGCATAGACATAATCTTATTTTGTCTTTATAATAATGAAGTCAACATCACAATTTAGAAAGGGAAAAGTTTATAGAGAGCCGAGGCTCTAAACAGTCAAGTTAGATCCTACCTCAAAAACTTCACTAAAAGAGATTGTTTTGATGATCAAATATCCTCAACTTGATCATCTCGACATCAAGATGCATGGACATGAGAAAAAAAAATGGATTTCAAGTTTTGGAAATAGTGTATTTTGTAATGAATTTTTGGATCATCAATTTTCAAGATTTTGACGTTTTCATTGATATATCGATCTACACTTTTTGAAGCTTTAAACTTTATAAATATAAAGATGAAAATATATTTTTTAAGGCTATCATAAAGATTTCCGGTGTTGAAACCATATTTCTCGACACTATTTGAAGGTAGGCTCTAATTCGATTATTTAGAGCCTAGGCTCTATACAAACTGCACCCATTTAGAAATACTTGTATTTTGTATATAACGGCCATAAGTTCAATAATCAACACAATCACTTTAAAATTTGGGAAGCCTTCGAATAAAAAACATCCAATATAGGTTCTAAAGTTGATGGGGCTCAAGATGTGCTTGTGGCTTTCTTCTCCATAAAAATAAAATCTCGATTTCTGGTAAGGGTCGTCAAACGCCTTCCATGTTCCATATTATTGTAAATCTCGATCTCAAACTGGCATGGATCTTTGATCCATATACTTCAAAAACTTGATTCCAAATATGTTAGAATCACGATTCGAAACAACAACATAACTCTATTCCTTATGTGTTAGAAATTCGATTCCTTATATTAATGAATATTAGCGCCTGAAGTTGATTATAAGGGATTGCAAATCTCGATTCTAAAAAAACCTCGATTCCATATGTGGTTGAAATTTAGATCTATCAAGATCGAAACACAATTTTCAAACACTAAGAATATCGTTCCTAGCGATTCCTATGAACAACGATACCTAAGATAGGAATCTTGTAGTCGGCCGCAATTCTGCGATTCCAGCTCCTGGAACGATTCGGGTTTCCGCCAACAACTATGGTTTCAATCTCTCTCTCTCTAAGTGGCACACCACTCTCTCTTCGGTCACACTTTTGTGGCACACCCAAAGCTATTCCTCTCCCTTTCTCTCCTCCATAAGATCAAAAGCGTGTGTTCAATTAAAGTGAGAGAAAGCTCCATTGATGATGAATTCAAGCTTAATCAAAGCCATGGATGATCTAGTTTTCAAGACCATCAATTGAGTAAGATCTTATCATTTGCTATTGATTTTAGCCTTTTCTTCTTGCTTCCTAATTACAGCAACGTTCTATTAGCCATTTGATGATTGATTCATGAATTCTTGATCAAATTTAGTCCATATAGTTGAAGGGATCATCCGTGCATAAATTGATCTAGTTCCATGTCCTTTTCTTTGAGATTTTTGGAGGATAATTGACTGATATTTCTGAGTTTTTCACATCAAAATCAGTCAATTGAATAGCATTTTTCATAGATAAAATTCTTGATTTTATGAGAGGAGACTATAACGTATTTCTATGGCACGGTTTTGTGAACTCTTGAGACTGTTTTGTGATCTAATCTCAAGATTTCTCCCACGAGCTCCACTTATGTTTTTGTTTATCTGATCTCTGCAAATTCTTCCATGTTTCTAGTGTATATCAGTAGATGATTAGCTTCCCACTCTTGACATGATGAATTTGGCTGAATTTTGAGATATGCCATCGGATGTCACTTTATGGCACATAGGCCAAAAGCCGTGAACTGGGCACCCGAGAACTGCGATTGGCTTCCCATGGACATGCTGCATTGCATAATTTATTTGAGCATTTATGCATTGTAATAATGGTGATCATGTTTCCTTGAGTTTTGTGAAGTCATTTGATATATAAATTTGCATTAAAATTGAATGGTGTAGAAGTCTTAAAATCACCTCATACTTGTCTAGTTCGTTGATATCTATGTGTAGTTTTGTTTTATGTTGGTCATGGGACCCTAATTGAGTTGTCTCCTCTTATTTTTTAGTGTATACTCAGTCATTTGTCTACTGTAATCACAGTTATGCTATTGTAATTGAAGGTTGTAAGCTCAGTTGTGGTGTATTGTATAAGAATTTTGAGTTGTGTTCACTTGTATTGTCTTATTGCCTAAGTGCAAGTCTATGTAATTTGGTTTTTTTACACTCATATACCTCTTTGTCTTAGTTATGGACAACTTAACTAGGCACCTAAAAGATGAGGTACCGTGGTACATGTTGTTCGTGGGTGACATAGTTTTGATAGAAGAGACCTTAAATGGCGTCAACACAAAGCTAGAACTTTAGAGGAATGTTCTAGAATCTAAAGGTTTTAAAATTAGCTGGACAAAGACAAATTGTATGGAATGAAAGTTTAGTAATTATAGGAGTAGAGATGAGGAAGTAGTTAATATTAATGGCCAAAAAATTACCAAAAAGATTACACTTTCGATATCTTGGTTCGATAATCCAGGAAAATGAAAAGATTGAGAAAGATATTGCACATAGAATTAGAGCTGGATAAACGAAGTGGAGATGTGCAAACGGAGTTTTATGTGATTGCCGCATACCAATGAAGCTGAAGGCAGTTCTATAGGACAGTTGTGAGACCACCTGTGATTTATGAGGTAGCATATTGGCAGTCAAGAAACCACATACCCATACAGTGAGTGTAGCTGAGATGAAGATGTTGAGATGAATGAGTGAAATGAGTAGAAGGGACAAAAATTCGAAATATGGATCGTCTTGCAAAAACTTTTGGGTCATGTTGATGGTATGTTTTATGAGTTTTGGCCCATGAATTAATGCTGCAAAAATTAGCTCAAGGGAGCATGTAATCTTTTACTCCACCACCACCCCCTCCCTTACCCCTCTCCCTCCCTCCCTCCCTCTCTTTGGTAATTGGCAAGCTTTGTGAATGCGGACTGAACCCTAATAAAGCTATGTTTAGCTCTTACCTAATTAAATTATTTAGATGGTGGAATATGGTATGATTGGAGATACTACTATGAACTAGATGTTGGAAATTGTACTGAACCTGAGAAATAAGGATAACTATTATGTTATCCCCGAATCTACTATGAATTAGATGCAAATTGTATGATCTGTTACCCCTGAATCTGTACTATTGCAGTGATAAAAAAAAAGTTTTTTTATGCAATGTTAAAAGGAAATGAGGATAACTATTATGTAGTAGTTAGGGAGATATGTCAAATGTTCTATGCCTTATTATCCATCTGCTATTATAAGAACATTTTGAATCGAATGTTCGAGATGCTGATTGTGAACAATTATGCTACAAAACCGATTTTCTCGTATAATTCAATTTTTTTTGTCTATTAAGATGTTGATCCATGTGTATGGATTGTCTATGACTTTAGAATTTTCATAATGGACAATGCTCTCCTACACATTCTTTGGTGTTTATTGACTGCTGAAAGTGAACATCGACTGCTGAATTGCCTGTGTATGTTATATGGGGCGTTCTAAGTTGTTTATTGACTGCTGAAAATGAACATTGACTGTTGAACTGCAGGTGATTGCAGGCATAAAATATTGGTGAGTCGTCAGAGGAACGATTGAACGAAATCTCAGTTTGGCCTCTTGGCCTATACATAAAATCTGGTTTGCAGCATGAGCTTGGTTGGAAGCATTGATCTGCCCTATTTTCGGGTCACTGTGATGTAGTTATCTATTGTGCCCGGTTTGATTGTGGTGTTTCCAATGTAATATGTTTCTATGCTTTTGTCATTGGCATGGTGATTGGGTTTAGGGAGAAGTGGTGTAACTTATATTGTGCAGAATTTTTGTTTGGTTTTTGAGGGACAGTTGGTGTGTTGGTTGTCTGAGAAGGACTCCTTGATGTACATTATAGAGGGAATTTTTTTATGACAGTTTATGGACATTTGGTAGAAATTCTCTTTCCCATTCTTTGTTACTTTTTCATTTTATTTTCTATGGCTCATGAGTGTGGCATCTGCACATATTCACGTTGGCGTAGGATTTGGCTTAATAACTGCATAATGACGGATGTGACGTAATATGCATTTATTTGAGAGTGAAATTTTGTTATTAATTAGCATCATATCATGCCATTATCGATGAGGAAATGAATGCTACTGTTAAAGGACAAGGGTACTCAGGGAATGTTTCTCGGTCCTTTGTAAGCATCAAGGATCCTGTAAATTGCAACTTTAAGCGATGTAGCCCTGTAGGTGACGACTCTATTGACCCCCAGTGTACACTTTTATTTGGAAAGAATGATTTAAGTGATATCTCAGTTTGGCCTCTTGGCCTATGTATTTGGTACAATTTAGTTTCCCCTTTATTTTATTTTTCGCCTTTTGGTCTTTATGCATTTGAAAATGTAGTTATTTTCATTAAATGAAGTATAAATTTTGGCAACAATATAAACAACGATGTTGAAGGTTTTGATTGAGTTCAATGTGTTCCTGGTACTACCTGTCTTCTACGATGTTGAAGGTTGTGCTACTTGATGTTGCATTCATGGAACCCAAAGATTTGGCCCAATTGTTTGGTGGTCAAAACCAGAGCTTGGCTATTTGATAAGCTACTGGTCCGCAGCATAACCCAAAGATTTTGCAAGAGTAATATTGAATAACCCAAAGAATTTGCTATTTGATGAAGCCACGAACATCTCAACTATTACAAGCTCAAGAGTAAATATTGAATAACCCAAAGAATTTGCTAGCTCTGTTACCTCATGTTCGTCTGCAAGTATATTTGCAGATGAAGTTCCTCACGGGCTTCAGTGCTGATGTTTAAATTAGTCATTCTTATGATTATGTATTGGCATCAATTTGGAGATCTGGTGGTGCTAGTGGATTCTCCATGTATCATGAATCATTGATCTTCCATTGTAAGAGATGGGAATTTGTTGTAGTTTGTTAATAAAGAACGATATGCGTTGTTGTTGGTCCGAAGTCGAGGCCAATTGTGTAGCTTTGACAATCAAAGGTTCATCAACCACAATACTAGAAAATTATCAAGGTGCAATTACTTTTCATGCTAATATCATAGAAAAGGCTTTCCCATAACAAAATATTTCTAAAGTTAATATCAACTAGAATAACTGTTTTATGAGTTGCGAAACCAACTCCTTAATCATGTCAAACACTTTTTAACATAAGTGATACAAAAATAAACGTATTCATTATATACAAAAATAGGAATTGTTGCATATGCCATAAGGAATCAACAATTTGTTGTTGAATGAACATTCGGTTCAGGCTTGACCATAAGATGCTCTTGCGATACTTGTGAGTGATTCCTTTATTCTACATTACAATGCCTCAAGTTCACATTGTAATTCATCACTTCCATAATTTCATTGCACCACTAAAAAAAACTATTTGGACACCGATAATACATTCTTCCAGGGTTGGATGGGGAATTTGATCCGCTTAAGTTACATGGTATGTCGTGCCGCAGACAAGTATGACGTGGATATCCTCCAGTATCTGTGGAACCTGATGACATCCTGACTGGTTCAAAGGCCTTGACCAAATTTCACAAAAGATTAAACAAAGGAAATGAATTTCTCATGCAATTGACTTTTTTTCATTAGCACTCAAGTCTCATACAGAAACAAGCATCCCACCTAGAATAAGGAAACGAAATTCTACTGCAAAAATACATCACAAACAAGCATCCCACATAGGACAAGGAAACGAAATTTTCTAAATCTATAAATCCATAACCCACAAACAACGGTCGCATCAATTCAGTATACCATAATAATCCTCTCATTCTCTTCGTTACATGGGAATTTTTCAGACTGTAACAGTTTGTTTATGGTTGTATGAATATATTGTATTTAATGAACTATATGTCGTTAAGGTTTTTTACTTTCATGAGGCCTCATTAGTATTGGAACTAGTTCTTGGATTAAAAACTCTTTCAAGAAAAACTCAGTGTAAACAATCATTACATCCAGAGGGAGTTAACTTTGGGGTGGTCCTATTTGGATTAGGATGGACTTGTAGACCCAAATTAAGAAAATGTTAAGTTTCAAATATGGAAAGGTCCTAGTGTACCTACCTTTCGGCTGCTTTTCACTTTTTTTTATAAGGGAAATGGTTTGATAGGGCTGCAGCCCTATCAAAATAAGGAAATAATTCATCTATCCAGCTTGAATATAAAAGTTGTGAAAAAAAAAAGGAGGATTTCAAGCGCTAAAGACAGTGCAAATTGCAACAAATCATTTAGACCATCCATTTCACCCAAAAAACAAGTGTTCACATATCCACAAGATTTGTGCAATTTTTTGAGTTTCAAATTTTATTGTTGGTATTGGAAATTAATTTTAGAGCCATCATAAACATTTTCAATGTCGAAAGTACTTTCTGAATGACAATATGAGGTTAGGCTTTATTTTGTTTTCATAAAGCCTTGGCCCTCTAGAAACTTTATCTTTTTTATAATGGCTTATGTATAGAGAGAAATATATAAAAAAAGAGAGGGAAACCTTGAGCGCAAAAAGAGAAAATTATACATATAGAGAGGTTTTGTAAGAGATTGAGTTTGCTAAGTACCAACTCGTAATTTTTTTTCATTATTATTAGTTAAAAACTGTCGATCGTCTTTTCTTGTGGATATGGTTACATCTATGACAAATCATGTAAAATCTTAGTGT